GGAATGCCAGGCGAGGATGGTTATCCGGGAACACCAGGAGAGAAGGGATGGCCAGGACCACCAGGTGCGCCAGGGCCAATGGGACCGCAAGGACCCCCGGGTCCTGGTGGTGAGGAAGGACCTGCTGGTAAGCGTCTGTTTAATCGAGTCTTCTGTTTTCAAGGTTTTCCCGGATTAATTTTTTTCCAAAGGGTCTCCTGGAACCTGTGTCTGTCAAGATACAGAAGTTGTGATGGCTGATGTTAATGGAAAAATCCCTGCTCCAAGAGAAAAACCATATGAGGAGCCTGAACCTCCACGTCCACCTCAACTGCTTCAACCATCGTGAGTCCAATTCTCTTCGTTCTCATTTCAGAAGTAACAGACACATTCGTTTACAGATCTCCAGTCCACGCGAATGAAGTTGTGGAAGAGTCCTACTCAAATAATGACAATGGTGGCTACTATAACAAGCAAATGCGTAAAAAGGCTAGGAAGCTGCGGCAGCATTAGTATCAAATTCGCATTTGGCGCTCTACCATATGATTTTGCTCATTCATCCTGCTGTCTTTATCCTTCATTCCGTTGTTGTTGAGACACGTAGTTGGAGGATTTGTGAAAGTGAATATTAAGGGTCAATCATTGTACTTTCAACTTTTAACAATTTTTTCTGTTCACAATGTCCGAGGTATCGTTGTCACATTCCTGTTTTTCACATTTAATATACCTATGTAAATTTTTAATAAATTGGTCATATTCTTGGATTCTTGCATCGCTTAGCTCATAATTCATCTTATTGAAACTGCGTAAACGACACGATATTCTCTTGATATGTAAAAAATAGGCCAATTAGGCGTCAGTGGAGATTGCTGTAACGGAAGGGATAGCGGCAACCTTAGGTTTCCAGATGAAAGCGATAACTGTGGATGACTGCGCACTGACAAATGCCCTCATTAGTTGAAGCAGCAAAGAGAAGTAGGTAATTGACATTTGTGTTGACCACTGGGTCATCGGAAAAAAATGAATAGAAAAAGACATGTTGCATCGCGCAAATGAGCGCTTCACTTTTTGAGGGTATTTTCATAACATAATCTTGTGTTTTTCCGAACATCGACATTAGATAAATTCACAAAAAAATTTCCTTCAAAGCATCTGTAAATGACGTTCTCAGCACATTTGTGTAGCCACAATCTGTTCCTACTACAAAGTTGAAAAGCTGTGAAAGCATAATTACTAATATAATCATACTCTGCTAAGCGTAGGTCTATATCATCTTGGCTTGAGCTTAATTGCCTTCGTTTACTAATCAAAATATGAAAGAGCAACTTATAAAAAAGTTGAAAACAACAAGCATTCTTCAAGGAATTTTATCAAATATTCCAACGCTTAAAATTGGAAAAAAAGTGAAGTCCGTCTCCCTAATTCGTTAAAAGCAAAAAAATGATGCGAGAAATAAATTTGAAGTATAGGTGTTTAAAGAATACAGCTACAGATTATGTGAGCGTGTTCTACTGTAGGTCAATGTGACAACCCGTGAGCAGAATATTTCAATTTTGTGCTTCATGGAATTGTTGTTGTTGGAATTGTTGAACAAAAGGAGACAACTTTTTTTCCTCATTGCAACAAGAACTTCCAAAAAGGATTGCAGTCTCAAGCACTCATATCTTTCTACTTCTATATTCCTTCAAAACACTACTTTCTAAGATTGATTTATTCAAAACACAGTTTTGGTTTTTAGTTAATGCTCCTACGTCCATCCTGAGCATAGATCATATCATTAGATCTTCTAGCTCATTTTTTTTT